AAACCAGCAAAGGAGGCCGCTGGAAGTGAGGAGGTATTCATTCCTTTAACATATACATAACTTTTCCTCCTATCGAAAGGCTTAATCCTGCAGCCCTTTCGCACACGAGCGAGTAGAGCTGTCCCTGGGACTTCAGCGGGACAACTTGCACGCGTCAGGTCGTCTCGCCCAAGTAAGGGCTGCAGGATCAGGCCCTCGTTTTCGTGCAGGACCATGAGGAACTGATGGGGTCTGAAATAAAATGAGCGGCTTTGCAATCAGTCCCAGTTCAGAGGCATGCCTGGGAGTGGTCTGGTATTGCAGCCTGCCTCTGACCTTTCAGGTATGTTACACTACAGAGGGGACACTGGTTAAACCAGCAGGCCTCTGATGGACAGAAGTGCAGGGTAGAGTTAGGTGGAGGTGCTCGGGGTCTCTCCATCTGCTGTATGGGATGGCTCACTACAGTGACAGTTTTAACTTGCAGCTCCCCTGGTGCTGGTCTGGGACCAACACTTTCCAGTAATTCCCTTCCCTACGTGCAGCGACTTTGAAAAGGGGTTGAAGGGCCCTCTGTTTTCTCTAGCAATCAGTTACATCAGCCTTGAGACTTGATGCTTGCCGGTGCCGTACTTCCTAGAGGAACCCTCCAGAGCAATGTGCTGACAGCAATAGAGTTGCTGTGAACATGTTTATAAATCAAAAAAGCTGATCCAAAAAAAAAAAGTAAGAGGAAGTAATAATAGTTTTAAAAAATAAACCCGGTGCGCTCTGCTCGACTCAGACGCACTGCTGCTGAGCTCAGTGGGCCATGGTGGAAAGGTTTAATTAATGAGCTGTAGAGAACGTCGTTATCTGATAAGCCCGAGTTCTCCCAGTCTTGAGCTGTGGAATGAGGAATCTCAGTTTTTCCAGGTAATTTGTTGTTGTTATTGCAAATTTGCCTAAGTGATTTAGGAGCTTCTTAAAAGTCACCATGATGCCTAAGTCTCAGTGAAAAATCAATGGGACTTAAGGCTCCTAAGTTTTTAGGTGCTTGTGAAAATGTTGCCGTCTGTCTCAGCGGTAGAAATGGATAGTGTCATTTAAACGAGCCTGCCTGATTGGTGGGCCTAGACAGCTATTAATCCTTACAAAACTGGCATTTTCCAGCCTTCCAGTCAAATACCTATTTAGAGATGTGTGTTACAATACAGCAACGTATCGAACATGTGCAGGCCAGCAGGATCCTCAGAAACTCACTTTTGTAAGGAGCTAAAAGTGCTCAACTCACAAGAGTCACCTTTGAATCTGTGGCAAAGTTTGTTTGTGTACATATTTTCCCAGGCATCCCTTTTCCTTTTGCTCTGCAATCCATTGAGGGCACTATATGTTATCATCAGATGGGTAGCGTTTAAGATTATGATAATGAAGGGATCACTGCAGCAAGCCCTTACTCACATGAGTAGTTCCACTGTCGTCCACTCCCATAAGGACTGTTTCCAAAAGGGTTTTTTGGGATTTAGCCCTAATTCTCAACCCATGTCTCTTGGGCATTGTTTAGAGTGGGGGAATACTGACGTAGAGGACTGTAATGTTCTACCCATTTTGGATATAAACACCACATGGATGGGTTCCACTTGTTGTGATTTAGCAATTTGCTTCTTTTAAAATTGTGTTTATTTCCCCTACATCATTTTTTTCTCATGTATCAAATATTGATGAATACCCCGGTGTCATTTGGCAGGAGAAACGGGATTATTATTTGATCAATATTTTTTTCCTGCAAAGTAATCTTGCAGGAAGTGATTTGATAGTATTCCCCCCCCCCTCGTTCTGCAGAGGTTCGCTATAACCAGAATTGCATTCTGTATACTGCATTGCTTAGAAACTTTGCGATTGCGACTTTGTTTTGCTGGAAAGCAGATGACGTTTCTTTGTGTAAGGAGCTTCCCACAGTATTTTAATCTCTACTCATCAGAAAAAATGTGCTTTGAAAAAGTTTTGTAATGTGTGTTCCAAAGTCAAGTTACTTGGTTTGCTTTCCCATAATCATTTTTATTTTCTTTCTGTCCATTGTATTTGCTTTCTTTTGGCATCTATCCATCTATCCATCTATCTATCTATCATACTTCTAAGGCACCTATTATGTTGGTATCTTAAACACAATACAAAATCAAGAAGTATCAGAGCCTATATTCAAAAGTTGTGTGTCCATTCTCTGTGATTTGTGAATTTAAGTGCTGGGTTTTCTGTTGCAGATGGTGTGTGTGTATAGGCTCCTTTTGAAGGAGAGTGTCTTTCCTCCTCTCTGATTCAGTAACAATAACAGATAAGACCAGCCACAAAAATAAGAGAGAGACAGAAAGAAACCTGAGTGGTTTTGGTCTTTCCTTTTTCAGAGAGATCAGTGCAGAACTGTAGCCGGTTTGCTTTCCAGCGTCTCCCTCAATACTTGCTAGAAATCAGTAGGAAGAACTTTAAAAAAAAATTACTAATATTTTTTTCTAGGGAGGGCAAAAAAACCAATATCCTGCGAACCCCCAAGAATCTTTCCAGTGTTTTTGCATTGACTGGCGAACGTATTAGTCATTTTATAGATGCAATAGCTAGCCCAACTTCCTGGCAAGAATGATGCTGTGAAAAAGAGACCGTACATGGAGACTCTAATGATAAGGAATGGGATTAAGCGGCTTCTGTGTTGCATTCAGATAGATGCTAGTCACTCGACAAGACGCCGCTACCAGACTGAAAACAAGAAAAATGCTCGTTCTGCCTTCGTTTTAGTGCATCGGCTCTTTGGAGTGTGCTTCTTACGGGTGTTTACAAGTGCTCTGCTCCACTTCTTCAAGGGGTCTCTTTTCATTTTCTTTATGAGTTTAGAAGGAGCTGGGATGCCTACGTCTCAGTTTGCCTTCGGCGGAGAGGGAAAAGTGGCTATTGAAGCTCAGATTAAAAACCTAAGCCAAATTATTTTCCTTACTTAAAAAAAAAAAAGAGGGGCGGGGAGTAATTTTTGATCCATAAATTAGGATGGGTAGAGACCTATTGTGAATTTTCCAAAGAGAGATCAAATAATGGATCTTTTTTGGTTACCCAAGTTATTGGACAGCTAGGAACCAAACCTGAGTGTTTATGGCTTTAAAAAATACTTCTGGCTCTTTGAAGTTTGCTTTGTTTGGTTTGAACCAGTGATATTCTTGCAGCAGACTCAGCAAAATATCAATATACTATTCTACCTTCATGACTTTAGACGCTTGCTTGCAAACCTCACCCAGCGCTCCGTTAATTTTAAACCAGAGGCCGGATTCTGCCCCTCTGACTTACATTGAGCAGTACCTTGCTGTGCGAGTGGTCCAATAGATCTCATTGCTATGACTTGCGGAGCAAGGGGCTGCTTAATCTGAGTGAAGAGAGGCAAAATCTAACCCTTTAAAAATCAAAGACGTGCTTGTTTAATTTTATTTTTTAAATAAAGATGGGCACTCGCTCTAGACAGAATTGTTCGGTATTATCTGTTCTGGAAAATAAAATAATGGTCCAGATTTTCAAGAGTGACTAGTGATTTTTGGATATCCAGCTCAAGACACCTAAAAGTAGCCTGACTGTCAGAAATGCTGAGCCCTCGGTCTCTGAAAGTTGGGCGACATTCAGATGCCTTGAGTTAGGGACCCCAAAACGGAGGGACCCAAAATTCCTAGTTACTTTTGAACATCTTGGTCAGGGGAGTATTTGGCCTGTAGCATTTCCTGCCTGAGTGGAATGAGTTTATTTCAATCGGATAGTCCCTTTGCTGCTTTAGTGCATTTAAAGTCACAGTATTCAGAACTTAAGGTCGGTCCACGGGCCTGTTAATGGAACTCCCAAATAGAACCAGCAAATCACACTGCCCAAACCCTGTGCATCAACAGAGCTCTCCCTGAATATTGATGATGCTCTTCCGCTGCCCCTCACTCACTCCCAGGCACTTTTATGTCTCCCATCCTCTTCTCCCAGCCCTCAGACCTGGGGCTCCAACCAGCCACCAGCCCAGTCTCACATGTCTATGCCCACTGGAGCCAGACTTGATCTGGCCTTTATTTGGTGCTGATGGCCCACCAACAACTCTCTTTCTGTCACAGTTTGTAAAGGGCAACCAGTGTCCCTGTCCCATCTGCAATCAGTATAGAGATGCTAGCCGCCCATTGAGGTGTGTGTGTGTGTGGAGGTCCCATTCTTATCCCCACCTGCAGCACAAATGTCTTGGCTGAGTCCAATCATGTAAGTTTCAAAATTAGCAGGAGAAATAAGTTAAAACCGGGGCTGGGGGCCTTTGTCCCGTCCCAGCTGATACTCAGGGTCTGACCCTATGAAATCAGGTGCTCAGAAGCTTGGTTTGGTCACTGTTGATACCCTGGATTTGTGCCCTCCACCCAGTGCTTAATTTGTAATGAAAGAGGTGCCGGGGCTCAAGCAATATTTTGACATTCATAACTGATGCGGCAAGCCCAGCGATGCCGGGGCTAGGAACTGCCAGGCCCAGAGGTGCCGGGGCTCGGAACTGCCAAGCCCAGGGGTGCCGGGGCTAGGAATCGCCAGGCCCCACAGCGGTGCCGGGGCTCGGAACGGCCGAGCCCGGGGTGCCGGGGCTAGGACCCGCCAAGCTCAGCGATGCCGGGGCTAGGAACCGCCAGGCCCAGCGGTGCCGGGGCTAGGAACCGCCAGGCCCAGCGGTGCCGGGGCTAGGAACCGCCAAGCCCGGGGGTGCCGGGGCTAGGAACCGCCAGGCTCAGCGGTGCCGGGGCTAGGAACCGCCAAGCTCAGTGGTGCCGGGGCTAGGAACCGCCAGGGCCGTGGTGCCCCTGGCACTAAGTAGCACTGCCCCCTCCCTTCTCACCCATGCTCAGCTGTGTCCCATCCCAGCGGCTGCTCGCCTTGTGCCTCTCAGGGATGCTCGGATTCTGCCCCCCCCCCCCCCCCCCATTCCCGGGGGCCCCCCCCCCTGCCCCCGCAGTGACCCTCCCCCCCGTGCACCCAGCCCCTCCCCGGCCGGAGCTACTCACTGTCCTGGGGGGCCGCCTCGCTGCCGCTGCTGCCGCCGGACGGCTCCTGCAGCCCCTTCGCGCCGTCCCTCGCCTCCGGGCCGGGCTCCTTGCCCCCGTTCATGCCGGCCGCCACTTCCTCCAGGTCCAGGAGGTGGCTGACACTGAAGTTTTTCCTGCCCTGCGGGTTGTCAGGCGGCTCCAGGATCCGCCCGGGGCTGGGGCCGAACTGCTTGTCCATGCCGAAGGCTGCCGCGCTGTCCATGCCTCGCTCCGGCGCCCCCGGTGCCCCCCAGCCCGCCCCACGCCCCCGTGCCCCGAGCGGCCAGGCAGCCACCCTGCCCCAGCCAGCCAGTCCCTCGGTCTCCCTCTCCCGTCCCGAGCGCTGTTCCGCCTTGTGCTGACGTCTGGGGGAGAGGAAAAAAAAA